GTCTGAAGTCCACAGGCTTAGTGGATTTGGGAAAGCTGATCAGGAAGGGAGATTAGAGAACCTAGGAGACAGAATTCTCATTCTATTGACTGTGCTTCCTCAATTCTGAAAACACTTTGACAGTTTAAAATCTCTGACTGTGTTTAATGTGCTGTTATTTCATTCTTCTCCCCTCCCCCTCCTAAGCTGTGGTTGAGCTGATGGTGTGCTTCACAGTTGAGGGTGTCTCAGAATTGAGCAGCTGAGCTCTGCAGGCTGGAGCTTCTTCTCACAACCGTGAAATGCGTGGTATAGAGCTCTGAGGCTTCATTCAAAACCCATCCATATTTTTCCTATAATTTCTCCTTTGAAAAATATACAATAGGGAATATTTCTGTAGGATTAGTATTAAGACATTTTTCTCTCTTACATAGTATGTTTTATTAATGTTTGCTGTGGAAAACTGGGAAACTATAGAAAAGTATAAACAAAATGAAATCAGACTTCCTCAACTCATGGTCAATGTATTGTTTGTATTTTGTTGAGTAACTCTAGTCTATCTTCTTCCTTCCTTCTCCTCTCTTTCCCTCTATCTCTTCTTTCCCTCCTGCCTTCCCTCCCCCTTTCTGTCTCTATCAGTATATCAATCTATCTATGGACTGTTTTTTTTTTTTTCAAATTTCAAATTTTACTGCATTTACTGTTTTGTGTTTTACTCTGCAGTTAACATAGTCTGGGAAATATTTTCCCATTCTTTTAAATATTTTCAAAACCATTTTTAACTCAATTGTGTAATATGTCACAATTTAATTAATATATCTTTATTGTTAGATGTTCAAGCTGGTAAAGATTTTGTTTTTGTTTGTTTTGGTAATTATGAATAATTCTGTAAGATCATTTGTTGTTGTTAGTGCCATTGAGTTGATTCCGACTCCAGTCCACCTCATGCACAGCAGAGCAGAAGCCTGCCGGGCTTTTTGTGCCATGCTCTCACCTTCTGGCGCTGTATCAGACAATGCCCCATTGCTATTCAGAGGGTTTTCATGGCCAGTTTTTTGGAAGTATGTGGCCAGGTCCTTCTTCCTAGTCTGTCTTAGTCTGCAAGTTCTGCTGAAACCTGTCCACCATGGGTGACCCTGCTGGTATGTGAAATACCAGTGGCAGAGCTTTCAGCATCCCAGCAACACACTTGCCACAGTGTGACAACCCACAGATGGGTGGTGTGTTTCCCTGACCAGAAACAGACTCAGGCCATGGTGGTGAGAATGCCAAATCTTAACCACTAGACCACCAGTGATCATTTATGGGCATAAATGTTTGTATGTAGCTATGATCATTTCTTTAAGATAAAATCTTAGAACTTGTATTTCTGGGCCGAAAAGGGGTAAATATTTTGATACATATTAGGAAAATATTCTCCTGACTGGTTATCTGGTTCAAACTTCCACCACTCTTGTATGGGAGTGATCTGGGATGCTTTACTTCATAGAATTTTCATCAGTGATCTTCGAGATGAACTAACTTGAGAATTTAGGATTATAATTCAAGACAGTTTTGACAGTTCAGAGAATTGGTTAGTTGATAGCAAATTAAAGTTCCATAGGAGAAAATGAGGATAAGAGAAATAGGGCAGATGAAAATTGCCAAAATACTGTTTGCAGAGTAGCGTTTCTGCACGCACTGCTTGAAGGAGAATCCAGGGGTCATAGGGAATGTCGCTAGATTTTTCTGTAGCCCTGTGGCAGCCTTTGCTATGGTCAGGTGTCTGTTCCCAAATAAAAAGAAAAAGAAAGCCCATTTGAACTACTGCTCTATTCTAAAAGGAAAGTTAAAATTTTATATTTTCAGCTATTAAGAATTCAGAGACACTAAATACCTTCTTGGGGAACATTAAATGTTCATTTTAATTATTTAGTATAATTATTTAAGGATAAATTAAATTAAAAAAAAAAGCTTGGTTCTGTTTGGTTGTAGGTTGTAGTTCTGTGTGTGTTTTGAATATAATTTATACTGTAGAACTGTAGCCATTGTTTCTGTTCACTTGTGGTACAATTCTAGCTAATGTTTAGATAAGTGACCATGGGATAGTTATGATCCAGAAGGACTTTATAATTTGATCTTTTTTTCTGTTGACTGATATTCAGCATAGTTTTAAGACTATTAACAATCATATACAATGACTTAAAAATCAGAACATTTAATTAATCAGCTCACTTAATTCAATTAATTAAGCATGTCTGCCAAATGACAGAGGCGTTTGCTGTGTTTTTACTATCCAGAGAACTGTCTTCTTGGGCTAATAAAGTGTTTTTCTTTTTTTTTAAACCTAGATTCCCACCATTCATAATTTAATGTCAGATCCTTTTCTAACCAAAATACTTTCAATGGGTTACTTATTATTTTTGTGTTGTTATTTGGGTCAGCACTGTTATATATAACAGTGGGCTTACTTCTTTAGGGCGAGTCGTCCACATCTCTGCTCTCTGCACACAGGGAGCTTTCCTGAGGCCCCGAGAGGCAGAGTCTGCTGCTCCGCCTCGCTGGCACGGCAGATGGAGGGTGAACCGGCCAAGTGCAGTGGTCGCTGCGAAAGCTGCAATGAGTGGAGCTCTAGTTCCGATTAGTGTGTCTGTCCTGTGGGGTCTAGTCCTCGCTGTGTGCTACAGCTGTGAAAGGTTAACAAAATGCTAGCTACACTTTTGCTTTTGGAAATGTATTCTTTATAAATTTTTTCTGATTATAATTTGATATATGTTTATTACGGAAAATTAGGAAAATTTAGAGTATAAATAAGAAAATAAAAATCACTAATAGTTCTACAGTAGAGATAGATCCTATTTACTTATATTTCCTATTTTTACATCATTGGGATCCTACTGTACATATAATTTCTTGTCCTCACGTTTTTTCCACACAGCATGTCGTTAACACTTCCCGTGCTAATAAACACATTTCTGAAAATCGAATTGTTAATGGATAAATAATATTCCTTTGTACGGTTATGCCGTTATTTACTTAACTATTTGATTGTTGGTCCCAGTTTTCAATGATAAAAAATCCTGTGATGAACATATTGTACACACATTTTTGTGTTTATCTCATTATAATAAAACAGCATTATACTAACTGTTAGATTGTATATCTTCAGTGTTAGATTACAGAATATCAAATAGGTACACATCGTTGTGGGTGGGAATAAATATGAAAGGATTTCACATGGTGGTCTATGAGCTGTTCTTTGAAGGGTGCTCAGCCAGGGCCTTGGCAGCAGCTGTAAGAGAGTGAGGGCCTCACAACTGGGGAAAATTCATGAGCAGAGTTGCGAATGGGAATGTGCTTGGGCTGTATACCTGCTTGTGTGAGTGTGAGCAGACCATGGTGGAAGGACAGGCTTGAGAAATTGAAGGAAATAAAGTGTGAAATGTGGGGTTGAGAATTTGAAATTTTTTGTAGGATAAGTGTGGAAAGTTCAGAGGGAAGTTCAAAGTAGAAAAATTCAGCAACCAAAGGTCCTGAATTTTCTGGACCATTGTACTTTTAACTATTCATTAAAAACTTTTATGTAGCACATTTTATGTGCAAAGCTCCCCCTTGTGGAGGCCCATAAGGGGCTTATACTTCGGTGGGAGTGGTGATACTCAGCCAGCGAATGCAGTGGTCTGTCATGTTGTCCTCGTAAATGCATTCTTACTGTCAGATTGTGATGCAGTGTTGGTTTGGAAAAGTATGCTAGTGGTTGCAATTGGAAATCTTTGGAAGTGCAGAATCAGAGCAGAGTCACAATTTAAATGATGCAGATATTCTAAAGATTGTTCTCATATAGATTGGAGTGGTCTGGTTAAAGGCAGGAATAGTAGGTAAACGTCCATCGAGAAACACAGGGTTGTGGAGCAGTGACTCTGAGACTTAGCAGGATGGGTTGGAGGAGAAGGGCTTAAATTTAAATAAATGATTTAATTTAGTAGTTCTGATTACAGAGTAGACTCTTTTCAAAATATAAAAGCCTCAGTCCTACCCCAGGTTTGCTGAATCAGAATTGTAGGGGGATGGGACCAGATATATACGTGTATATATATGGAGAGATATATATGTATACAGACAGTTCCCAATTTATGATGGTTCAACTTACGACTTTTCCACTTTACGATGGTACGAAAGTGATATATATGCATTTATTAGAAACTGTACTTCGAATTTTGAATTTTGCTCTTTTCCCGGGTTAGGATAGGCTTATGATGTTCTCTCATGATCTGGGTAGCGGCAGTGAGCCGCAGCTCCCAGTCAGCCCCACGTTCTCGAGGGTGAATGACTGACACCCTGACAACCATGCTGGACCCAGACAACCACTGTGTTTTTCACTTTCAGTATAGTATTCAATAAATTACATGAGATATTCAACACTTTATTATAAAATAGGCTTTGTGTTAGGTGATTTTGCCCAACTCTGGGCTAATGTAAGTGTTCTGAGCACGTTTAAGGTAGGTTAAGTGTATTAAATGCATTTTTGACGTATGATGTTTTCAACTTGGGATGAGTTTATCTGGATGTAACCTCACATAAGTTGGGGAAGATCTGTGTGTATATATATATATAATAAATATATAATAAGTATATATTTAATTATATATAATATAATAATATATCATATAATATTAAATATAATAAATATATATTTATTTGAAAAGCTTCCCCAGAGAGTCTGATGTGTGCCTCTGGTTAGAGATCATTAAATGAATTAATGTGTATTTTTTCCACCTCAAGAATTTGCCAAAATTGTCTGAACCTACTGTTTTGAATCTTAATACTCTTAATATGTGTGAGTATGCATTTTTCTTCTGCGTATTTTTTCATACTGTTTTCAGTTCCTGAAGAATTTTTTTTCTGTTGCTTGGTGTCACGTTATATAAACTTATTAATTAGTGTTACTCTGCAAAATCAATTTTGAGCAAATGAAATGTACTGCAACTGTAAGTTAAAAGGAATTTCTATAACTTTTTTTCTTACTAAATAATAGGGACAAAAGCCAGGATGGATGATCGAGCATGGTATTTGAGAACTTCAAAGCTGGCTCTGGCCTTGGCAATTATTCACTCAAAACCAGCAGACAAAAGCAGCAGAGACTACGCAGAGCACCTCTCGAGGGTGGTGTCTGGGCAAGAGGCGAAGTGGAGATCAAAGGTCGAAGCCTTGGAAGCTGAAGTTCTGCAATTACGTCAAAAACTTCTTCTGAGCAGGATTTACTCAGGATTGTTTAAGAGTGGTGAGTGTATGAAATTGCCTTTTGGTAACTATATCAATCTCTTTTATTTTGACTTCACAATTATTTAGAAATTATTTAGTTTCCTAAAACTAGACTTCTTCTTCTTGCCCTATAAACATTTTTTACTTCTAATCATTCATTAAAAGTTTATTGTCACTTTCTAATGAATGGGGCTACATTAGACATTGGGATGAAGTTGGATAATGAAAATAATCTAGATATGAAGGCAATAATGTTTTAAGCTTACTGGATAAATGAATTTTAAAATCTCATTGTTCAGCCTTATTATTTTACTATATATTTTATATTGCTTTTGTATTAAATAATTCGTCTAGCAGTCATATATCACGTACCAGCTATGAACCAGGCGTGCGGTGGGTGGCGAGGACCCCAAAACACCTAAGAGGAGGTGCTGTCCTTGCCATTAATACCTACCATTCTATCAGGGAAAAGAGACCTGTAAATAATTAACCCAGTTGTGATAAATGCTATAACGGAGATATGGACAAAGTGCAGAGGAGGAAGCCATTCATTCTGCCTGGTTTCTGGAAAGGCTTCTCAGGTCTGGCCCTCAAAAGTCTGTACACGAGTAGTGAGATGGTCACAGAGCATGCAGCAAGAGGCAGGAGCATGAGCAAAGGCACAGCGATGGAGCCCTGCTGCTGTCCCATTCAGGATACTGCCAGCATTACATTTCAGAGGGACCAGAACACCGTAAGGTAGAGATGTGATGGGGCAGAAAGGAAGAGAGATGAGTTGGGATCAGGTTCAAAAGGGCCTTGAATGTCAGGCTAAGGACTGTTTTCCTGTATTCCCTATCAGTCAGGTGACCATACAATTTATGGTCTCCATGGGACCCTTACGAGAGTGAAGGAGGGGACCAGAATAGCTATACGAGGACAACGGGCAGAAGCCAGGACTCACTTGAGCAAACTGGAGCATGTGGTCACTGCGTTCATCAGGAGTCATGCAAGTTTTTTGACACAGAGGATGGATCCTCATATTGGGATTGGGAAATATAATTCTGGTGATTTTGTAAAAATGTAAATCAGATCATGTTACTCCTTTGCCAAAAACCTTTCCCTGGCTTCCAGTTATGCTTCACATTGGATTCAGACTTGTGATCATGGCCCATCATGCTGTGGGCAGTTGCCCCTCTCCGCACCTCTCCCACCTCGTCTCATACAACTTCTCCATTGTAAATGTGGCTCAGCCACCGTGAGCTTCCTTCCAACCCTGGAAGGCTCTTCTTGCCTCAGACCTTTGTTATGCTCTTCCCTTGACTCTCTTTGGGGCTGGCCTCTTCCCTTCCTAGAGGTCATATTCTAAATGACACCTCCTCATTGACCACTCTGTGTACAGAGCAACCCCTCCAGTTATTCTTTACCCGAACACCTGCTATAGATCATTTGTTAGTTTACTTGGTTGCTGCCTTATCTCCTGAAACAGAGTCTGAGCTCACTAAGGATTGCGTCTTTGATTTGATCAGCACTCTCCACTCCATGCCCACCCCAAAGCCTGACGCACAGAAGGTACACCATAAATACCTGTCAAATGGAAGTGTAGCAGAGAAGTTATTTTGGCAATAACAGTGATTGGAGAAAAGAGACAAGTTAAAAGCGTTTGCCAAAGCCCATATGAAGAATGATGAGTTGAACTACATCTATGATAGTGAGAACTAAAAGGAGTCAGACATAAAGGAATGATTTCAGAGTACATAGTTCAGACATTTGTGAATGATTAAGGGAGATGGAGGTATTTACGATACTTGAGGTTTCCAATCCTAGTTTATTGCATTGATTGTGATGCTTTGAATCCAGATGGTGAACACAGAAATAAGTTTATAGGATAAAAGGTTGAGTCCAGGTTTGTCTGAGGGTAGGTTAATCCTTAAGCATACAGGGATTACCTAGAAGGAAGGTGGAAGTATGGTCCTAAAACCCAAAGGGAATGAGCAGGCTGAAAATATAGACCCAGGCTTAGGATTCGCTGGCATTTAAGTAGTAGTTGAAGTTGTAGCTCTAGAGGAGACACAGGGAGAATGGAGCTGGGGTGGGGCGGGCAGAGGAAAAGGAGCCACTGAAGAGAATGTGGCTGTCACAGGAGGAGTGTGCAGGTGTAGTGCACACACGACTGCTGTGGGTGAGGGGGTCACTGACTTTGGTTGTGGGGATGATCCTAATACCCAGATGTTACTAAACTTTTATTATTGTGTGAGAGAAAATAGTGTTAGATGATGTATAGCCACATTTTAGACTCTCTAGAGTTTTTCTAGGCAATGTTCTTTTTGAGTGTACCCGGTGAATGACAACATAATCAGTTTTCTTAATTTCTTTCTGGGCAGTTATGTGATTGATATAATGGCACACATTAAAAATTTCCAGTAATCTTAAATTGTGACCATCACAAACATCCATGATAGATATCAAACTGTGGCTTACCATCAAGCGTCTGTTTATAACACTGGCACAGTAGTATGTGTATTATTTGTTTGGAGCAAGAGTGTGCCTGACAGTGAGAGCAGAGGTGATAACTTGTTCTTAAGCTGAAAATTTTCAAATACAGTGCCTGTGAGAAAAATGTTCAAATATCATATAATTAAAATCAGTTTTACTCACAACAGGAGTTGTAGGTAAAGCGTTTCGGTGCAGATGTTTGGAAGTAATCTCTCTCTCCATCTGTTAGCTTAAACTTGAAAAATGAGGAATAAATGAATAGATTCAGATAAATAGAGTCACTAATAAAGGGGAAAGAAAAAACCCTCAGCAAGGGGGGTATTAGATTGATAGGAAAATAAAGGAGGAACGTAGCCGTTATTTAAAGATGTATAATTTGAAAGACTGACATGCCTTGCTCTAAGAAAACTCCATACCTGAAAATCAAAACTATATTATAAATGTATTTATATTATTAAATATTTATTTCTGGAATTTTAGGGTTGCTTTACATGTGCAGCTGTTCTCGAGTATGAGACAGCAGGCACTCAATAAGTGTTGAATGGAATGCTTCCTGACAGATTGGGAGGCTGGGGAACATAATTTACAGCGTCAACTATCCATTGAAACAATTGAACAAACTAGAATTGAATAAAGCAGAGCTGAAATGGCAAAGTAAACAAATAAGGAAGTGTGATATGGTTTATACAGTACTTAGGGAACTCAGCTATTTCTTTACTTTGAGTTATTTTTCTACGGCTAATTCTTCCAGAGAAATGTACTTTATTGTGTTTGCTAAGGGACTAGACTGTACAGAGAAGGAATAAGTACTCCTGGGTAGTGGGAGGAAGGAAAGAAGGATGGGAAGGAGAGAGGGAGGACCAAAGAAGCCCAGATATCCAGTGACACATTTCTCAAAACCCTTTTGGTGATGTGTGGTGGATACGGTTTGTTGTCTAATCAATATCCAGCTTCCTTCTTCCTTACTAAAGCACTCTAATTTTGTTTTGACAGAAATGTGCTCATGCCCAGTGGGTTAATCCATGACAGGCTTAGAATTGTTCTAAGTTTGGGCAGGGGCCGAGGTAAAGTAAAAAGCAATCTTCTGAGCTTTTGATAAAGATTTGTCTCTTTGTATCAAGAGATTGAGGCTCATGAAAGAGAGCAATTAAAATAGTTTTTACCTTAACCACTTGTTTCCTGTATGAGACACTGCCACATGAAGATATGATGCCTGGAACTGTGGTAGCCATTTTGCAACTGTGAGGCACTTTTGAAAAATTAATGCCGGCAAGCTAAGGATGGTAAAGTAGTAGGATGAGAAGAACCTGGGGCCTTCTTGACATCTCTGAGCAGTCAAAAGCAACTCTAGGATTACTTTATTAGGTGTTTTTAAAAAGGTAAACAGTCGTTTAAGCCATTGTTATTCATGTATTCTCTTCCTTGTATCTGAGTACATCCTAACTTAGGGGGGAAGGGGTGGGAATCATGAATAAATTAGAGTGCTGGTTTTTCTCCCAAGAATCTTCTTGATCCGCAGGAGAGAAAACGAGAGAGAAAAACCATGTTCTTTAATGTAGAACAGCTTCCTGTTAAAGATGGCCTCATAGTGTTGGCAAGGATTTCATCTAGGTCTGAGTAGGTGGGTAATGGGGACCCAGAGCATAGAGACTGGCCAGGAAGATGTTAGTGGCTGTTCTTAAATGTTGACTCGAGATTGAAGGGGATGTGGTGACAGAAGCAGGGCCTTGTTAGTGGAAAACAGTATAGAATTTCAATGAGTACATTTAGGATTAAAATGTGAGTGTGTGTGGGGGGGGCAGGCAAGGGGACTGTGAACAGTAGCTGTGATACTTGTACAGTAATTGGGCATTCACAGGAGGGATGTAGATGGGTGAAGTGTCAGGTGTATGCTTTTCTCCCTACAGTTTTACAGACTCAGTGTCTTCATAGGTGATAGATAGGCTGCTGGATGAGCAACTGCCTAGAGTGAAAAGAAAGTAAGAGCAAATCAAACCACATTAATTCATTAGTTTACATGTTTATTTAGTAAATGTTTGTTGAATACAGGGCTCACATGTAGAGTGCTTGGGGGTGGGTGGTGTGCGGAGCAGCACAAGTACTTTAGATTGAACTTAGCTCTTGTAAGTTTTGGTCCCGGAAAACAAGCGACCCAAACAGATGTCTCTAGGAGCTTCCCTACCCTCCCAGCTGACAATGCCTAAATTTGTCCACCCCTTCCCATTAGTCCTGTTTGCTGCTTTCTACCCTGAGGATCAAATCCTCCGTGCCCCATTGCCGGCCCTGGACCCTGCTTCTCATCTTGTGTAAGTCTGGATTCAGGAAAAGACTTTTAGCTAGACTAGTGTTGATGAGGGGTCAGAACAGGGGCTGAATAGTGTACCTCACAGACGCAGCGTGGACCTTGTCTTTGTTTTCTGACTGCTGCTTTCCTGGTCTGGGCCTCCTCGGCCTCTGTCCCATCTCCTGTTCTTCTCACCACATCCCAAACCACGTACCGAGGAGACATCACACATAATTGCCCTACAGTCACGTTTGTGGAGC